TTCCCGTTACTTAATAGTTTTTTTATACATTCGTGCATAATACGCTCGGTAAGCATGTTTAATTTGAACAGTTCACCAATAAATCGTATAAGTCCAAGTCCATGTCTTTTTGCTTTCGCTGCAATGTAATATTCTTCTGACATGAGATCAGGTTCGCCTTTTTCGTTAGCTGGGACAGGAACGTTGACTTTCCAACCCTTTTCAAAATTTTCTTGACATCTGTTCAGGAGGTACTTCCTAAACAATGCACCACCCTGAACATATTTGTCTTGATTTTTCATATTTTCGTCAATTATTTCTGGATCTATTCTTTCCATCATTTTACGACAAAGCTGTGCATACATTTGACTGAAATTAGGTTCGTCGCACGACTTATCAAAAGTAAGGCTAATAACCTCTTTTAATATACTTCCATCTCTCTGATCTTTAGATTTGTTAGCATATTCGATTATTTGATCTGATATGCTGTCAAATTTTTCTAAAGTCAACTTATTCAATAACGCTTTCACTTTGCGTTGTATTATTTCCATTTGCAATCGGTCTTCTGATGCTTTATTATGCGGGACCCACCGATTCTCGGTAAATTCAAGAGGTTGCACAGGATCTTGTCCCATATTCTGACCATGTTGGGTTTGATGTCCGTTTTTCTTATGCTTATCGTTTCGTCGAGGATTACTCTGTGTTCGACCAGGACTCGGTGGATTCATTGCACCCATAGGTGGTAATATCGTACTCCCACTAGCAGTACGAGGGCCAAGTGTAGGTTTTCCAAAACTTGTCCTAGAACCATAGTTTGATGAGGCCATAAACCTTTCATCGCTGTTCTTTGCATGTCTAAATTCGCCCATTTGAGAATACTGCATTTGACCTGGGCTACCTTTGGTGTGTTGCGAAGCACGTTGACTCCCGGGACGCGAATTCTTAGCGCCACCTCTTTTATCATCTTTAGGTTCTTCCATGCCAACAGCGTCTAATACTGGCAAATTATCAGGCCTTTCTTTACAAACATCCATGAATTGCATGAGGAATTTACGGTCGTATTTGAATTTTCCGGGTTCAGAATTTGTGTTTAACTCGGGGTTTGGAGACTTAATGTGTGCTGGATATTGAACTGAACTCAAGTCATCGATGATACGAGCACTACTAAGTGGACCGGGTCCTATGGCAGATGCTGGAATTGTACGAGATAGATCTAAAGCTTCAGGCTTGTGTCCTTTTCCGTATTTCTTTTCTTCCTTTTTATTATCCTTTTTATCAGATAACTCCATTTCCTTTTTCTTTTCTTCCTCTTCGGCCTCTTTTTTCTTTTTTTCGGAAATTTGACGTTCCATTTCTTCTTTTTCAATCCTTTC